CGTTTCAATGCGGTTGAATTAGAGTGTTGGGATGGATTAAAGAAAGCCTTACTTTCCTCACTTTTTGGTAGATTAAATCACTGACTACTTTGCTATCTCCATCCTCCATCACCACATCTCTCGTTCAAAGACAATAAATCAAGAATTCTGTAGAGAAGCTCGAAATTTCATGAGGCCATGGTCATAATTTCTGTAGCTGTAAGATCCCGATGAGCGTTAGGAAAGATGCTCACATTCTACAGCGTCGTTAATGCTGCAGTTGTTGTTGAGATTGTGTGAACTGAGAAGAAAAGCAGCTGTCTACTGTTTAACACACAAGTACATGAGATTCACCTAAATTTTCTAATTCGACTGTTTACATTGAGACAACGATAGGAATAGATCATCAGTTGTGCTGTTGCAACAACGGTGAACAAGATTTTCTTCTTAGGATCATTTACCCGTTAATCTGAAATAGAAAATATTTGCTGGTTACATTGAATCAAAGAAAGCCACCTTAACAAATACAAACTCATGCCCTTGTTATCTTGATTTTTGGCAAAATAATTTATATATCCGGAACTGGTCGAATAATTTGGAGTCCATCATTAGCACTAGAAGCGTTGCAATGTATTCCCTCCCTCTCCTTCAGCGAGTTCAGTAGAAATTGAAATCACTGGGAGTGCATCTTGATTGACATCCAAACGAGATTTCACGTTTCGAAAGTGTTAGAGAATTTTCGTTTACTCTCAATCTATGTTTGTCAAAATTGACCACAATAATACCCACCAATGACATAATGACTTCTGCAGAGTTATTCAATAAGGCTAGCAAAAGTTCCCATTCGTCATTGTTTTGTACTAGAGCCATTTAAATAATCATCAAACAAACAAAACATTTCCTTATTCTTACCGAAGCCTCCACAACAAAATAAGTAAGTCATGTGCCGATGAACTTTCTATTTTTCGTACGATGTCATTCGCTGTTCAACTCGTTACATCTTCAACACACTTGTTATACATTTAGTGACCACGTGTATAAATGGTCGTTCACTGACTAAGATGGTCTCCAATTGTCGTCCTCACAATTACTCCAACAAACACTATCAAATTGCTTTTATACTATCTACTTGCAGGTAAAAATCAAAGGCCAATCTTATTCTTCATTAGCCCCTTCCGAATGGCATACTTCTTTTTTTTAGCAAACTCGTGTCTTCTCGCATAGGATTCTGGGTATACTGATGTACGGACTCGTTATTCCTCCTTTTCCCTCGGACGCAGCTTTTTGGCGGAAACTTTGCATGTTCGATAGCATGTACAACACATAACTTATATTGCTACTCGTTTATGGAAAGGCCTTCTATTTGCCGTCGTTGAACTATAGAGCAATTTTTCAGCTTAAAACATTCTTTGGTGCAAGCGTAGCTAAGATGCCTAGATACGCCTCTGTGTCGACAATCTGTCATCGCACGCAAAGTTTTGCATCATAATTTTTGACCAATTCACTGATTCTTGTTTTTCATCCAGCACAGTTACTATTATGCACTTCATGGGATTATAACTCGTTGTATGGGATCAGAGCTCGAAGACTATCCCTGAACAACTAATTTGATTTACTGCTTTTATCCGCAGGTTCACGATTTTGTAATCAATTATCTAAAATTCCTAATTGATAATCAAAACTAAGAAGCTCAGACGAGATTTGAACCTCCACACTTTAGGTGAGTGAGCTAACATTACATGTCGAGACGATTATTCGCAACCCTTCTTTCTTCAATATAAAGCATCGAAGCTGTTCAAACATCGTCAACGATTTGGTCTCGCAAGCACATATAGGCGTTAGACTTGCTTAGGATGGCAGCTGGAAGATGGTAAATTGAACACGAATACTCTTCAACAATTCTTTTAAACTCGAATCTAACTGAATCGACGGTAAGATTCTATAATTAAATATCTTAGAGCTGCTTATAGATAGCGTCTCTTTCTCTTTCCACACATTCTATCTTTGCTTGAACCTCAGAGGAATGTATTTTCGATAACTATAGCCTCTAAACATTTTAGCACCAAAACGATTATTGTGGAAAGAAAAATTTTGATACAAAACTTTTCGTTGTCACTCTCATATCATGGCGATATGTAATGACAGCCCCATTTTCGTTATTCTTGACGAATGACAGATAAACAACGTCGCAAAGACCCCGACGTTCTTTTTACAAATCAGATACTTTTTCAGTTGCCACCTAAAATTTGAGACCCATACCGACGCCAATCTTGGAAAAGTCTCCGACATCTATCATTTATTATTGGCCCTGTTGGGCGCATTGCTACAATAGCAAGCCTCGATCTCATTTTTTCCAGCACCCTTCTTATCGTAATGTAGAGAGATATGAATTTTTTATTCAACCGCCTGACTTCTGCAGATCCAGCCTAGGCATGCCTAACTGGCAAGGGCTCTAGCTCCCAGTGTGGGAACGGCTGCACGTCCCCTCTACGATCTTAGCTCAACGTGGTAATTGCCGTCTGTCCCACTTCTCTCTACCACTTGACATCCGTTCATCGGGAAGAATGTTATTGGTTCGATCCCTTCCCATGAAATTTGGATAAACTGGAATGGAGCAACTTACCGCCTCTATCGCATAGCCCTGATATTGCTTCATCGCTTCAAAAACCATATCCTTCGCGCTCTGGAACAGCAGTTGAAAGGGGAAACTTTTGACTATTACAATAAGTCTTTCTCTATCCTACAGCGCTGTCAAAAGAGCTTTTTCAAGAAGCAAACATACTATTTGAGTTCTTCGAAATCTGTGCTATTGTTAATACTATCACCCTAGCAAAATATAAACGGATATGGGAAAAAAACAAGCGGTTTTGTAAAACATAAGTTCATTTTCGATTTTGCAAGCGTTATAAAGGGGTGCTGTGAAAATTATGAAAAACCCGTCATGTGTGGAAGTAACCTCGAGTCTGAGCTTTCAGATATTTACTAGCACTCCTATGAAAAGTTCTCTTCAACGAATTAGGTCGATTTTTTATTTGTTCCTCCTAATCAGAAAGAAACGAAAAAAGCTCTGTGAGCGAAAAATACATAGGTGTGCAACATAATTTCATTTCTAAAGTCATAACCCAGCTAAAAGGCCACTTCAAAAGTAAAGTACATCATCGAATTTGTCAAGATTTAAGCTATCGTACTAGAACTCAAAATAATAGTTTTTTATAGCACCGGATCCACGGAGCCGTTGCTACTTATCTGGACCAGAGCTGCGGGATCCGGAGGACAGACAGTTAATGCCCTACAACACGAAGAGCCCTTCAAAGGGCGCGACCAAGGTAGCTACCGTGTTGTCATCCTGGCTTGGTCGTCATCCATTTGCCGCTTTTTTATAGAGCCTGCTCAAAGCGGTAATACTCGGATATTGATATAACATGTTTTTAGTCGTTCGTCAGGTATAGGTGCTAGACAGACGCCTGTTTCGTCCTCAAGACTTCTAGGTAGCATAGTGCCTCGATTCACTCGTTCCCTCGAGGCTATACTCACCTGGATTCTAGCACCTGACTTGCAGTACCTCGAGATATCGATTAAAAAGAGAGACTGTGCTACTGAGGAGGACGGAACAAGCACCTGTTCAGATTAGACTTGACGATAGGTTCAAAACACGTTATACATTATCAGACTATAAATCAGATTCAGTGATATGTAAATTTCGAACACCAAACGGGTATCGAATCCACGTTTTGCTTTTCCGAGGGCGCATGTTAACCTATTGCACTGCCAACGCTCCTGTTCTGCTGCCACTCTCTAAATATAAGCTAGCGTTTTACTGATTGCACTTTTCTAATATCTGTCAACGTGACTGGGTCCCATGACGCTTTCTGCTCAGCAGATAAAACCGTTGACGGTTGATGACTGACAGAATCGATACCTTGTATCGCAAAAAGAGTTATAGTAGAACAGGAGTTCCGGTGATGAGATAGGTTAGTTTGGGCCCTGGAGACGGTAAAATTTAGACTCAGTTCCCGGTCAGGCTTCAGAGTTCACATATTCAACATTACTGGAGTTTGAATTCGCAGATATTTAATAATGCTGAGTAATATGCAAAACTTAGAGCCTTGGGCAGGAGGTGAATCTCGTCTCGCCTTTGCAGGTACGGGAAGTATCGCTGAAAAAGTGATGGCAGAACAGAAGTTTCGATAATACAGTAGCTAGCACCGTTACACGCAAAGGGCGGGATGAGTGTTTAACCCCCTCCCCACTCCTTCCCCGTCCCTTGAGGTCACACGCAAACAGATGATGTGCGTTGAACCCCTTTCCTCCTTCCCTCCCTCGAAGTTTGAAGTTTTGCATATCATTCAACATTATCGGGTATATAGTTATAACATCATATTGTTGCTGAAAAATCGCTTAAATAGAGAATTGACCAAATATTAGAGTTCCGTAGATTTGAGTAGGTCGACTATCAGCTCTAAGGTGTCAATCACGATTAACTGATGAACACGTTGAAACAAAAGTCTTCATAAAGCGCCATGTAAATCTTGAGAAGGAGGAAAAACAAATTGCAAGGAGATACATCTCAAGGAGATACGTTGCGGTTCTTCTCATGTGGAGCTTTTCCATAGATCACTAAACAATAGATGCTCAGTAAATTTGCTACTAATCATATCAAAGCTTTCATTTTTTAAACATTTCATCTCAAACCACAAGTATCAAATTTTTACAATTCCCTTTCATGTACCCGCTTCTAGTGGTGGTATAAAATTACAAATATAGCCATTGATGTAGAGCGATGTGCAAAAGATTTGGGTTAATTGGGGCTTAAACCCGCATTTCACCCAATACGGAGGCGCGTCCTCTATCTTCTGCATCACCGACGGTTTCTATCTGTCAGCAAACAATTGTCAGCGGTTTGACTCAAGTAGTTGCTATCAATATTGATTCCAGTCACACTGACAGATATTGGGTATTGGGATGATCGAACAGAGTGTTGATAGCGACTTTATGGGCCTTCTAGAAAGAGTGTCAAAGCAGCCGTCGGTGGTACAGGGATAGAGCACGCGCCTCCGTATTGGGTGAAATGCGGGTTCAAGTCCCGCCTGACGCAAATGTTATGCACATTACTTTACGTCAAATGGTATATTAAATGAATGTTGCTGAGGGAGAGATCAAGCAAGGGTCAGGCTTCAGTGGGCGTAGTGGTTAGCATATGAGTCTCCATTAAGGGAAATAACGGCTTTGAAACCCACCTGAGGTCTCGCTTCATATTTATAACTCAATATCGATTTGGTTTTAATTAGAACTTTGTTAATGAAGGTGTTGAAGTGGCATTAATTGACTATTTACATTTTTAAGCATTGCGAGCTCTGTTTTGATCATATTGTAGGAAATAGGTGATGATTTATGGCAATACAAACTCTGTTTATTTACAATATCTCCTCGAATTATCGAGTTTGCATTACTTTTCTATAGAGACATCACTGAGATATCGACGCCGATTTATTAAGCCGTTCCATAAGTTTCAGCACTAGAGCAATAAACACCAAATTTATCAGTCAAAACTAATTAAAAGTGCATGATATTGGCATCGTTCAATTGTGCATATTCTTGCGATCATTTTGATATACAACTTGCCTTTAAGATGCAGCTGTTGTGGAGACCAGTTTGCGTGCTGCTTTTGCAAGAATGGCGCGTTGGGGAAAATGCTAGTGAAGCAGCGCGAGCTTCCTGTGGACGGCCCGAGCACGACTGATCCCCCAGACAGTTCTTGCTAGCTTCGAGCTTCGCGAACCACTTCTTAGCCGTTCGTTCTACAATCGTGTCATCGACCCAAGCTCCATTACCTAGGCGCCATTCGTGCATGAGCAGCAAGCGAATTTGCTCATAAGACAGCTCCATTTTGAAGCGAGTATAGGCATGATGTATACGAAAATGTTTTCAAGAAAATACACAATTGAATGATACGAAAATCGTGCAGCTTTATCTTTTTTTGGTTAATAAATTTGATGATTTTTGCTCTAGTGCCAAAACTCAAAGATTGGCCTAAACAACGGCTATGTGCGAAGCAATAACCATTTTTTGTTGAAAGCCAACTATTTCAGCTTAAGAAGTTGATTACATTCATCTTCGTATGTCAAAGTTTAGAGTTTCCTTTCTTTTGCCAATTTTTTCTCATCACTGGATGACAAGCTATAAGATTTCTTTACACAGAGATCAAATTTGGCAGAATGAGTTTCGCATTCGCAGCCATTTACTACTTGCTCAACAAAATCACCTCCATTTCGTGACTTTCAAATCGTTCTTATAAGACGTTCGCGTGCGCACAAGTAATATTTATTTAGACTTTTTTAGATATTTAAACTGCCATGCGCAAGTGGACTGTATGGCCTACTTGTTAATAATCTTTCTTGATTGTCTAGCTCTTTTACTTTGACTTCTAAGATTGTGTTCCTTCGCGTGAATCGTGAATTGATAATGTTCGTTCATCGTAGTATAACTGTATACTTTATTTATCTGAATGACTTTCTGTTTTCCTTTCATGAATTGTGTACTAATGTTGGTAGTTGTCATATATTTGTGTATATTCTATTTATTTCAAGCGCTTCACTGTTCCAGCGTTGTTATTAGTCGATGTAATGATTGTGTGAATCGTATTTTACGTGTACATGTAGTATGTACATAAACAAATTAATTGTAATATGTAGTTCGTAAACAATGAGGTGCATTGAGCGAGTGGTTAGTGATCCGCGCTACCAAGAAGTGGCTGGTGGCGCGACCTCGTCGCGGCACTCATGATCAATCAGCGAGCTCCTCAAGGAAGGCCGTTGCTCGGTTTTCTCCGAGGTTGCAGGGAAATTTGCACGACTAGTATACAATGTCGTTCATTAAGAAGACAAAACTCTCTAGCATCGGAAAAGTAGCACGTGAAATGTCCGAAAGCCTGTAGAGGATGAATGCGAGTAAACGAATCGAATGCTAGAAGTGCTGGGTTTCATTTGATAGGAAAAATGTAGTGACGAATCGTGTGAAATAAAATAAACAAGTACACAGCAGAGTAAAAAAAAACTGCAGGGAAAATGAGTATTTCCGTGAACGAATTAAGGAAGTATTTACATGTTATCACATGAGAAAAGCCAGCGTGTCAGATTAGAGTCGCATTACTAGTGTACAGAGAAGTCAGGCGCACATGCGCTCTTTAATCGAGAATGGAAGAGATGCGGTGTTTTGATTCCAGTGCATCTAAACCATTTATACTTCTCTGAAAATGGAAAGACCGCTGATACAGCGCAAAGAGCGCTATCACATGGGGAACTGTAAATTATACTGTCATTGTCAAATATATACAAGTTAAGTCATTCAAAGGCTAACGTCTAGACAAATGTCTCGCAGTTGAGGGGTTGTAGAAAAGGTATAAGTGTGGCATCGAGCGCTTGCGGTCTAATCGTCACACTGAAGATTAACTTGTCGACCTCCTTGGAACCCAAACTGAGCGTGTGCGCCAGCGCGGGACGACTCCACCTCCTTTGCCTCGATTTTTCGCAGGCTACATTACTACTTTTCCATGTAAAACTCGGAGCTAAGTTTTAGACTGATTCGCGTGGGTCCCGCAAGGAAAAGTAGTACTGTAGTCGGTGACCAGTCGAGACAGGGGAGGTGGAGTCGTTCTTATGCTATCGGGCACGCTCAGTTTGGATCCGTGGAAGTTGACCGGATAAAGCAACAGTTGTCGTTCATTGTGTTCAATCGGGTTCCTATATCTTTATAAAATCATAATGCAAAATAATGGCCGTTTCACAGGATTAGTTTTCAAATCATCATAACTATGATCAAACGCATCCTTTTCAATCAAATAGGAACCATTGCAATCACCACATGTTTGTTTTCTTTTCCTTCCCTGTGGTAAAAAAGTCACTGTCCTGAGATTAGATGAACCCTTGCAAAGCACTTTTGCATCCTGTTTGCTGTGATGGATTCGTGGTGGCCGAGTGGTTGTGATGCTCGTCGCGGCACGTGGGGTTGAACCCCACGCCAACACTCTCCGGCAATCGATAAGCATCGTCCTGAGAACCGTAGTTAGCTATCCTCGATATTGTAAGGATACGTGCTGAACCACTATCATAAGACATCCAAGAAGAAGACGAAAATATGCGAATTGGATGCTAGAAGTACCCGGGGCCGCACAATGGAAAAAAACCCTGTGAAGACGATTTAATAAGGTATCAGAGGTGTCAAAGTGTTTGCTGTGATAGTGTGTTTCCTGTAAGAAGTTGTTGAGACGCTTGAAGAGGTGGTAGTCGATAGGCGCTAAGTTATGCGAATATGGAGGATAAGGCACAACTCGTGGCCCAATTCGTTCAACTTTCGATGAACTCGATCTACGACGTATGGCTGCCTTTCGGGTTCAATTAAACCTCATCACTTTTGCAGCTAGCTTTTTTATTTTTCCAGATTGTTTCAAATGGTGAACGACAGTATAATGGTCGACGCTGATTTCTTCTGCAACATCCCGTCTAGTCTCAAGGGGATCAACTTTGATGAATGCTCCCAACTAGTCATCGTCAGCTTTCCCTGATGGATCCCTACGTTCCCCTTTTATTTAGGCTCTCGTCTCCTTTATAAAACTTCTTGGATCATTGCTGCGGTGTACATTCGCCAGCACTTCCTAGCCCAAATGCGTTGTTGATGTTGTGAGTTGTCTCTGCTGCTTTGCGACCCATTTCGAATCCGCAGTCTGGAACAGCCTTTTACAGAGTAAAATAAATATGAATAAACAATCACTAGAACATCATTAGCATCAGGACATTGAGCGAGAAATACGATCAAACTGTTATGCAATATGGATACATTTGTTTGAGAATTTGTTCAAATATCACGCGGCATATTTCAACCATGCATAAGCGGCCATTGCTTTTGCATCAGCTTAATATTATCTAGATAGTAATATCTAGAGCAATAAAGATCCAGTATAACTTCGCAATATTCTCAAGTTTTAGACTACCTAACCCAGCAGCCGCGGCTTAACATGTGGAAACGAGCACAATTTGTCTATTGCATAGTTTGAGTACGGATTCGGATAATTCTACACTTCGTTCTAGTTGATGTGAACGGAGAGGCTTTCATTCAAACACATAGAAAACTCCATCTTAATGATTGGACTTCATATGGCACTGAAAGTTCTCGATATGTTCATTTCAAAAACTAAGGAAGTGGATTAATATTGTTTTCTAAAAATATAGAGTTTATCATTCTAACTGGTCGCTTTGCCTTTCTGTGAAACTAGTATTTTCTTGCTGATTTGAGATTGGAGTGAATCTCTTATTGGTATTGGTGATTTTATTGATATCTGTGAAGAACAGCTCACTCGTTAGTAAATGATTCAAGCACAAATTATAATGTGAAACTGATAATCCGATAACATGTTTTGAGCCTTTTTATTGCTTGGTATGGCACTTATACAGTACTGGACAGCTGTTTCGCTTTTCCAGATTCATCAGTAGTGTCGCGCTTGTCGCGCCCTTCGGTTCAGCCGATCCCTTGAAGGAGGATTTACCCCTACATATAAAGGAATCATTGTTTTTGAGTAATATCTATATAAACAGTCGAGAATAAAGGTATGATGTTAGACGTTGTTAACTACAAGCGCTGCTATCGACAGCTACCAATTCGTTGAACGCTATGCTCAGTTCTATCAGTATAGCTCATATTTTGGAACTAATACTACGTTGTGCTCACAGATCTCTTTGACTTTCCAGTAAATTGAAATTAGCATTTCGCTATCACAAATGTATTGCAATGTGCACTTTTCTCTCATCAGTGACATTTGTGTTTTTCCCTTTCTTGCTTTTATGAATACCATATGATGTAGAGTGGTGTGCAAAACTTCTGCGTTTAGCGGGACTCGAACCAACATCTCACTCTATCCAGGAGAGCGTGCTCTAACCCGTTGCACTACTGAAGCCAATTTTGCGCACCACTCTTTCTACACTATAACCCATCTATCTGTCAGCCGCCGACCGACAACAGCCTAGCCCGGTATCGACATTGAACCCATTCAAGCTGACAGATATTGGGTATTGAATGATCAAATTGAATTCTTTTTATTTGACC